GGCAGCTTATGCACAACATGCACACGCGGATGTGTTATGAAGGTGGGTCTGCGGCTTGTATGCTTACGGCAGCGGGAATGGAAGAAAAGGGGTGGTTGAAGTCGAAGTACAGGTCGATGCCCACGGTAGTCAGTTCTTGGACTTCGGAGAGCTTTCCGCAATCCGCTCGGCACCCAAACCGTCCGTAGGAAGCAAATTCAAAGGGCGATTCGCACAGACCGTCGCCGCAAGCGGGGTCTTTCCAAATTTCCTGCGACACGCTGCACAATGGAGATGTCAAAAACTACAATGCTCTCTCCTGAACGAAGTGTACTGGCGTGTACCGTGATTCACGTCTGCGCGCAGTGCGGCCACATGCAAATATACTGCGTTCGCATTCTCAAAATGACGGCGTCTCAAACTGCGAAAAGGCCTGCAGAATTTCTCGGCATCCAAAGGGGACTGGGGAAGGGGCGAATGCCGCACCTTCAACACGCTCTTGATCCACTCCACCACCTTTGCCGAAGAGTCCATGTATCTCTTGGTGGGTAGTATGGTGCTCAGGGTTGAGTGCACCTGGTATGCCACCTGGGCGTTCCGCTGCATGTACAGGGCGGCGAGGAACAGGGACACAAAAGCCACGAAGACGAACAGGCTTTGGTAGTCCGCCCACTTCTGCGCCTGCTTCTCGTACTTCGAGTGCAGCTCGCGGGCGATATTGTGCGCACGGTCGGCGGCATTTTCATTTTTGGGAAGCAGCGCTGCGCCGCCCTCGAGGCTGTTAACACTGCTCTCCGGCCTGGATCCCGCCTCCTCGTAAAGCCCTGCCTGTGCAAAGACATGAATGATTCATTGAAAGTTGAGCACAATGCTTGGTGGCCTGTGTATGGCCATCAGTGTGGTTTTCAAAGTTCCGTGGCTAACAGTCTGCTAATTGCTTTGCCCTACATTAGAACAGCGCCACATTCGCATGGCTGGTTGATTTCATGCGAAGTTTCCTTTAAGAGCACAGACTCGCACAGTGGCAATTGGCTTACTGCACAGCGATGTCATTCTGCTTCCAGTCCCGCCACCTTAACGTTTTTTGCAGACAACTGATATGCCTTGGCGGGAGTACACCAATGCGATCAAAACCCAATCAGTGCAACAGTTGAAGCACTCGTGAGTTGTTGCGTGGGGCTTGAAATTGATGAATTCTCCAATACTCCACATACTATCTTGCTATTGAAAATACCGTCCTAAAATACCTCGCTTTAGCGCGGTGGTGCGCTGTTGCATGCAGTCCGTACCTTGTCTCGTTCAGACTCAGACGGGGTCGTCACCCCCTTGAGGGGTGGCAATCTTTTCATTAGTCTTTCCCACCTTCAGCCCTTGTTGCGCAGCTTCAGATCCAGAAATTCAACTGCCCAACGAACGCGCACAATGTATTGTCAATGGATTCCCTTTAATTGAAATGTCGTTTCGGATTCACAGTAAAATCGCTGTCGAATCTGCGACCACGTCGCAATATCAGCGCCGGGCAGTTTACCATAGCCAGAATTCAGGCGTAGCCAAAGCGGCAAAAAATCTTCTTTCCATTAGTATGTGCAATAGAACTAGCTGGCGAGAGCACGGAGCCGGGGCTACACTTGCAATGGAAATAAACCAGGTTCAGGTGTGCAAAACTGGGGAAGGAGCACGCCTGGCAAAACGAGTCAAGATACCTGTTTGGGAAGTCTCTCGCCACAGGAAGCCTCGGAAGGGCGGGCCCTTTGCTGGAGTACCATGGGCTGGCAGTGGCGCTGAGCCAACCATTGAACATAGTGACATTACTGGGAGCCAAATTTTTGGGTGCTCGTTGTAAAGTCATTTGAAGTCCTTCACAGTGGTCATAAGTGTCGAAAAAGTGTAGTAGTCAGGCCCAACAAGGTTGCCTCCTTCGTTCATCTATTCTTGTTGCAGCCATTCCGAAGTATTGAGGGGTCAACGGAAGTCAACAGCGACTGTCAAGTCACGGAATTGAGGCAACCGCGAGCACAGGAGGCCTGTAAACTTCCGATTACGGAGCCATTTCTAGAGACACGGACAACCTATGGAAGTCATATAGAAGAAAATACTGACGGCATTGATTGGCGGAAAGTTGCAAAACCACTTTAGGAAAGTGAATCGATAGAATTTTCTGATGGATGAGTTCCCGCGCCATGCTAGACTCTTTGTCTTCGAATAGACCATGTTCTTGACATTAGGGGGGCCGAATTTTTATTGCGATAGGTTGTGTTGGAAAACTTATCAACGCCGTCCTTCCATTTCTACCCAATGACAGGAGCGCTATTGGTACGAAACACACCAGTGCTGCTTTTATTGCACCGAGGTACGATGTTTTTGTTAGTTATACAATATGTTTCAGGGGAGGGAAGCGTCAGAAAATGATGGATACACTCTTCCTGCGCACGATGTTCTGAGCAAATGTGTCCCATTTCGAATGTGATACAACAATCTCCAAAAAAGTGGAAGACACAAAGCAACTGACGCTAGGACAGCTGCGGTAACTGGCAGTACGGTTTGGGAGACAGATAATGATGGCTGGAAGTCTCATTTTGGATGCATGCATAATCCGGGCACTTGCGCTCTGCATGGAGGCAACAGAAGCAATAGATTGCATTGGATCCGCTACGATGACTGCTGATCTCAATGGTGGATCGCAATTGGATGAAGCGTCAAAGGCTCGTCTCCTTCTGCCTTATGTGTATAATGGACTGGGCATCATGTCCTAGGGTGGTGCTCAGAGGTCGAAAGATGAAATCGTTGATTTCATGCGTACATCAGTGCATGTCGTGTAGCATCTATGAAACAAATGTGCTGTCAGAGTGAACATGTTGAATGCAGGAAATACCCGCTGTGCATCGACATTTACACTGCTATTCGTTGTCTTCAGCAAACTGGATGGACACTAGCATAGTTTGCACGGCCGCTGTAAAGCTTGCACATGCCTCTAGATGCCTCAATAAGACACAAAATCGTGTGTCTTATTGAATACCATCGTATTTTCTGACATAGTTGGAACTCTTCCTGGCTATCGCGCAAAATAAGCTCCAAATCTTGTGTCTCCACAGCGTCGCCCGCATTGCAGGGACGCTGGGCCCATTTGCAATTGCTATCCCCTCGCCTCTTCAACTGACTCCAGTGCCCGCACACATCTATGGGAAAGGAAAGAATCGAAACCAGGAGATCAAGCAGTGTGCTAAAACCTGACGGCTCCCATTATCCGAAGCAAAGTCTCCATGCGTCTCAATTTTGGCCCACGGGACAGTTCAACGCTTTTAGCCCCGTGGCTAGCGCTGGGCCCAGAATGCGCACGGGGGAAGTCCGGCAACTCAACGGGAATGACGCAACCCGATGACGCACATCAACTTGGAAGTAGCCCCCGCTTGGAAACTCCGCCATACCGACGGCAAGGGGCGTCGGCGGGCGCACCTTGACGTCCCGTCTGTCACGTGGGCGTGCTTGACCGGCATGGAGGGAAGGGGGCGCGCATCCGCTGGGTATCAGACGCGCGGCCTCGGGCCGTTTTTCTCCGCCGCCTGTCCAGCGGTCCCGTCGGAATGCTGTCGCTGAAGGGGCGGCCAGACTTTGTGTTGAAGTGCTCGCTGGCCGTGCGACGACCTGCATGAGTCAAAGTCGTCGGCCCGGCCAAGTGGAGGGCCGGTGAGGACTCTCCGGTGCTTCATCGCATTGGAAGCAGCCCGGATGCCCTGGTGCATCATGGAGGAGATTGGGAGCAGCGAGGGCGAGTGGTGGCATTTGCACATTATGGTTGATGAAGAAAAACGCAGCATAAGTACTACAAGTTGGAATTTTGGTCTTTCCGCATCCGTTGGTGGACATCTCTTCCGCTGAGCTTGGAACTTCCTTGAGGAAGTGAAATTAAATCCAAGCAACTTCCTTTATTCGTAAGCTTGGTCATTGAGAATGCATGCTTAAGCATGAATTCTCTGTTCCTTGTCACTCCAAATTCGAAGGATTTTGCTTCAAATTTGTAGTGTGTGAAGGAGCATTGCTGCGCAGTTGGCGCGGCCGCACATCTACAATGCAACCCTGCCTCCCGCAGAGGGAGAGGCGGCACTTTATTCACGGATTCTTGAAGACAAGGACGTCAATCATCGATATGCACTTGCGCCTGCAGCTGGTGCAATGCCTATATGTGCATGCTCAAGTGCAGTGCGCCAAAGGATCATCACCAAAGTTTTCGTTGCAACTATTAGTATCCAACATTCAACTAGATCACTTAGGCCTCGCACTGCAGTTGCAGTGGATCTGGTAATGTTAATGACTGTCGCCGTCAATAGAGCTGATTGTAGAACGGCCGTGTTGCCGATGGGTTTTTGTTGCTTGGTCGACTTAGTTGGACGCAGCTGTCCTGGGGGATGTTTGGGATTGTGGGTGTACTGTCATGGATAGCGGGTTTTTCGGGGAGACCATGCAGCAATGCAGCGATGAGGGCTGGTGAACACTGGTGCGTGTAATGTGTGGCACCTGGCCCGACTGAACGTTGTTGCGTGCGGAACGCAGGGAACTTCGCTTCAGCCTGGCCAATATACTGGCTTCAAGCAATTCACGAGTGGGGCTCCCTTTGCAGCCCGATCCGTCTATTCTCTTCGTAGCTCAATCTCCTTTTCTACTTCGTTGGTACTGCGCATGGCCGTGAAACGCTTAAAAATGGTATTCATGCTTTTCGAGTCCGGCCCCCCCCCCTTTCCATGCATCTTCATTCCTTCTTTCACAAAGGCGCCCCGCTTCCTTCCCCAAACCGCAGCCAAGGATCCCGCTTTAGCCACATGGGGCAGCGCCAATCTACCAATCGTAATGAATTCCTAAACGGCAAAATTGTCGAGGTGCAGCGTCGCATGTGTCCCGAAATGCCGCCATGCAAGCAGCCCTCCAACCCCTTCCACAAAAACCCTTCAAGCGTCGCCATGAGGGTGACTTGGAGACACTCCGCATTTTCAGAGAGTGGCGAAGCGTGACACAGCACGCTTCTAGCCTCAAATCTTCATGTTCACCTCGATGGGCTTCAGGTAAGCGAGGTTGTCGAACGTGGAACCCAGGTTTACTAACTTGTCGAAAGTTTCCACGAAGTCTACCTCGTAGTCTGCGACGCAACAAAGAGGAGAGACAATAAAAAAATGTACACATGGAAATAAAGGTAAACTGAAATGCAGTATCGCCACCATATCGGCAGCAGATGGCGGGGTGTGAGACACAATGCTTGCATCAATGCCCCAGTTTCCCTTCATGCACTTAATCTGAATCGTATCTGAGAGTGGTGCAATTTTTGGTGTCCACAGACAGCAAATCACGCTGTGGATATTTATACATTTAAGAGATCGTTCTTCTGCGCATATTCTAATTCCAAACAACGTCATCACTTTAAGAATTTGAACATTCTGTAATACAGAACCTGTATGGCATCTGTGCTCCAGGCAAAACACGTGTAGAGTTACTAATGTGCCTGTGAACAGTGTGGTATGTGAACAGTCAAAGCGTGAACATGATCATGGGTGGAACTGGCTCTTGGCCGCCCACAGAAAGGCGTGCGGGAATCATTTCTGCGGGATCTGCGGGATTCTGCGGGATCATTTCTGCCATCCCCTGACACCTGGAAAGGAAGGTCCACTCTGGAGGATCGCAAACGCCGTTGTTGTGAACTTACGTTTTGGGTTGACAGGGGAACGTTACAGTAGGTTTTCGACGCAATGTGTGAAAAAGACGCCATTGCTAGGATGCTCACCATTTCTTGTGACCGTCTTCCTGCTCCTGTCGAAATCTTTCTTCCATTCTGCGTAGACAGGCAGTGTGGCGAGCTTCTCCTCGGCCTGGGCGGCAATGCACAGCATGATTAGCCAAGACTTGGGACAAGCGAGGCCAATGTGTGGCTGACATCGGACATACGTATTTTGGCACCGTACTCTGAGCAGGGGCGACTGCATTTGTGCACAATAAAAGGCAACGTGCAATCAACAGAGCGAATAAATTCGCTGCCAAGTTGTGTGACAATGAGAGCAGGGCTGGCAACACCATGAACGCTGAAGAACTGGTGCCACGTCATTAACTCGATGGCGCATATTTCTTCATCGTTGTGAACAACCGAGTGCACAACCAAGTGCAATGCACAGCGAAATTAGCCCCCTGGATATGGGAGATCCTGCACTGTGATGTTGCAGCACCCAACTGCTGTTCTCGAGGATGCAGCTGAGGAGACTGGCATTCAGGGGCTCTTGCAAATTCAGTGGCACAGGACATTCGCCCAAGTCAAGCCCAGATACCCACAACAGTCCACTGGCACAGCATGCTGGCTGGTGGCTACAAGCTCAAGCGCGGGATGCTCATCAATGGCATTTTGCATATGTGCTCTACATGCTTGCTTCCTTTGCTTGAAATGCCTTCAAAAGACAAAGTGGGACCTTTGCAGCTTGCGTGCGATGGAGGTGCACACTGCAAGTGCATTGGTGGTTTCAATTCTGCATCCACTGGTTGACAAGCGACTACCACTGACGCCTGCTGTACCTTCTCTGGATCTGGCTGCGCGGCCGTCCAGATTAGGAATGAGTATTTCTCTGAGAATGGGCCCTTGGGTGTGAAAGGGCCACTCTCGCCCACGTTCTTGTTACCCAGTGCGTTGAAGAAGCTCTGCAGTTCACACAGGGAGTGATCAGCCTCATCTGAGCTCACAGTTATCATCGATCATTGCAGTCAGACTGTGTAAGGCATTTGCACAGCTTATCTTGTTTGTCATACATGCTCATAGGCGTTTGTTCACAGAAAGTGAAGGAATGCGTTGCACATCAAGTGAACACAATGGCATGAGCCGATCATCGGAATCGAATAGCCAATAAGAGGCTGAGTCATATGCGGTTGTCTGTCAGTCTGGGGCAGAAGCGACGACAGGCTATTCATGAGCGGACCTGCAAAATGGTGTTTGCACAAAGAAAACCAACATTTTCTGCAATTGCATGCTACATTCCCTTGCGGTCGCGAGGGTTGTGTTTTCCAATTTTTGACAAAGCCTGCTGCAGTGTACAGCAGTCTGCACGCATGCAACTTTTCTGTGCTGTGCACTCTCCCCAATCACAGAGCGTAGAACACCATCTATTCCAAAATGGACAAAGGTTCCAGAATTTTAATGGGAAGGACAATGAGAGACGTGTTTACTACCTTTACAGGAGCCACAAACCTGAACTTCCTCTGCACTGGGATCGGGAGACAGTAGCCGCCCAGCAGGTGCTGGGGTCATGGAGTCTACCCTTCCGATCCGCACGCTCCAGTTTGTCCCGTAAGCGCTTGTCAAGATGCCCGCAGATGCTTCGTCCTTTGCCTTCCCCAGCTGAGCACAGCAACTGTGGTTCAGAAAAAAACTACACGACCAAAATCGTAGATGTTTGTGTAAAAGTTGGGTATGGATGCCACCAAAAGCACTGAGAGCACTCAACAAAAAAAGACAACAAGTCAATTGAGCTCCAGTCATTGCTGTGTACTTGTGTCTACAGTACTAGGAACAAAATTGCAGGTGGACAACAGCAGCTGCAGGCACACCTGTGCACAGCAAGTTGAGTGAAAGTTGGCTGTGGGTTGTTCAGTTTCTTGTCATCATTTTTCATAGTGTACTTCCTGTCCTCCTTTGATTCTGGGTTGGAATTAATATTCACTACTATTGCTGAAGGCAAAGCTGGCTCCAAGAATCACAAGAATGTAGTCTCGTTTTTATCTACAGCAACTACTGTGAGCAGTCCTCTTTAAACCAGCATTGTAAAAACCCAGAAGCTCAAAACTTTCTGGGAATAGAATACACAACTGTGTGAGCAAGAAACATTGGATGTCATGACCACAGAAACAAGAGGGCAACCACCATCTTTGAAAAATGGGCAGGTGCAGCAGCGCATTCTTGTTGCCATAGGAATCAAATACAATTACCACACAGGATTCCAACTGCATCGAAGATAGGAGGTGGAATAAGGAAGTGCAGAAACATGCGCGGACATGCAAGGGCTAGTGGGCAGGTATCACAAGCACACAGGCTGAAGTGAAGCAGCAGTGTCAAAAACCCTACCTTGATTTGCCTCCATGACATCTGGATGCTCGTCTTTGCAGCAAGGACCAGAAGGTCTGCCCAGCTGATGGGACCCTGCTCCGCCTTTATCGATTCCTCGTCTATTGCCTTCTTTGCTGTGGTGAGCTTTGCGACGATGGGCTTGAATACCTTGTTCTCTGGACGACTCAACTCTTCCCTGGAGAAGAACAAACATTCAATCATCAACAGACGATGGATGGCGACAGAACGAAAGGCATTGATAACAGCGTGTGAGTGACACACACATCTCCGGAGTTGTGAACCATCATTTTTAACAGCTCCAAATACTGTGGGGTGTTGGCGATTAGAATTAATCCCATTCGCCTTCCAGCATTCTGAATAAACAAGCTTGCAGTTTCGACAAGCAGGAACGTAACACACAACGCCACAGGTGTCATTAATACCGTGAAAAGGTCATATGCTACAAATGTCAAGTAAAATTGACGTTGTGAGCGCCAACTACCAGAACCCAATCCAGCATTCGACGGCATGAAATTAGTCGCTCTGCCTTTTCCGTGAAGATCCCTTCTTCTTTCGACGCCCCAAACTCTTAAGCCACTGCGTTGGCCTTATCAGCGGAAGAAGAAGGGATCTTCACGGAAAAGACAGAGCGACTCATATATTCTTGTCTGCCACCCCCGGCGGGCACTGCCGTCGCTGCACTCACTCTAGCACGATGGATCCGTCCAGGCCGCCCGTTTTCGTGGCGACGTCGTATGTCCCCGCGTCGTTTACGACCAAGCCCAGGCACATGGCCGCGTCGTCGGCCGTCAACACCTGCGCGGCGCCGCCGAGGAATTTAGCTCACGGTCAAAGAAAGTGTTGCGTGGAGCGCATTGGCAACGGCTTCGGGTCGACAAAACCCACGCTCCGCCGCCGGCATTGGGTCCATGGCGAACGCGGGGCGCCCCTCGGGCCACTGGCTCTTGCAAGGGAAGAGGTGTACACAATGGGCACAACAATGGGCGTGACAATGGGCAATCCGGGTTCCTGCAATGCCGCGCAGACTCCACGCCAAGACATGCCAAGCACGTCGCCGAGATCAACGGAGCAGCGCCCGCGATGAGTGACGGCGCCCTGCCGGGCAAGAAGCAAGGCAAGAGGTCGCCAACAAGAACGAGGTGAACTGGCAATCTGAAATGACGGATGCGCGCAAAGGCCATTGGCGGCCGCACCTTGCTGAGCTCCGCGGCCGCCCTGCTCTCCATCAGCCCCCTCATGCCGCGCGCCTGGATGGTGGACAGCGACTCCACGGGCACCACGGACTTGATCTGGGGGGCGGCGTTGGCCGCCCCGGGGACCATTCCCCCGACGGCCAGTCCGCCAGCCGCCGCCAGCCCGCCTGCGCGTGCAGCGCCCCAATTCGTCACCTCCCGCCAAAATTGCCGCGATGTCCGCACCCACCCCCCGCCAACGCGGCATTGTCATCGAACGGGCGGAGTCACCAATCCGAAAAACACAGAGGTACATTGCTGGCAAAGCAGATAGGTATGCTTCCCCCGTGCGCTCGTGGGGGCAGCCGGCGCGCAACATCCATGAGCACTTCCTCCAGCCCAGTCCGGCGCCAAGATCTCCGTTGGGCAGCGGACATCCAGTGGCAGCATCGAATGTGCGTGATGCCCCCAGAGGCCGCCCTTTCGTCAGGTCAATAATTCAGCCGCACCGGTCAGCAGGTCGCGGCGGTGGACGCCTTGGCTGTCCGCGTCTCCAGCGGCGCAGTTGACTTTTGCCGGCCTCGTCGGGCGGGGAGCTGGCCCCTGGGTGCGCGATGGCCGCAAGCCGACGGGCGCCATGGCCCCCGCCTGCGCCTGGAGGGCCAGGGAGGGCGCCATGCGGCCAAGCTGGGCGGCGATCGGGGCTGGGGGGGCACGCTGGGGCCCCGGAGCAACGGTGTTTGTGGGTGGGCGGCTGTGTGCGTTCTTTCAGGCAGGCTGGCTGTGGAGATTGGGCCCAAAGTATTGCGGGGGCAGGGCGGGGCGCAGCCGGGGCGAGCAGCCAACGACTCGGCCGAATCCAGTGGTGAAGGCGCTCTGCGGGACCCACGCCACCGGTGTGGTGGGCGGGTGTGGGGGAAACGTCATCCAACAAACGCGGGTGGCTATCTTGCTGGAAGCGGTGATGTGTTCGGTTGCTGGCGCACCCGAGTCTACACTACCGTTGGTGGTACTAACAGTTCTAGTGTCTATTAGTCAGCATTACTGGCATCACTCCTAGCTTCCTAGTTAAAAAATTAGGAAGAGTTGCAAGTGTTCAATGGCCATGATGTGGCTGCCCATTCGGGCTGACAAACCATGGTCAGACTTCTGGGGTGGATTACAATATGTGTCCTACCTAGATCCAAAGGCACAGAGATCCTAAAGAAACAGTGAAACTCAATGATACCCTAAAAAGAAAAGTGCACACTTAGTGTGCACTTTTCTTTTTAACTAGTCTAGTTAAAACTAAGTAGGACCACAAATAGGTCTAGCAATCACTCCTGTAAATGAGTGTGTCTGTTCATTGTGGTAGCATTGCCCTCTTTGTTGTTGAGCATGCCGGTTTCTCTCAAAGTTCCACAAGAAACTCAACTGGCCCTTTACTCGTGCAATTTCTCGAGCCAAATTGGCCAACTGGAGGGATTCACCACGCATTAATGAGCACAACGCATGCTAGCACAAGCTACCCGCTCTAAGAAACAATCTTGCAACTTTGCTATTAGTATTGGACCATACGCGCACAAGTTGACACAAAACAATGTCAAAAATACACCATCGACTACTTTCCAAAGTTGGAACAATTAATTAGTGCTTATGGATAAGCCCAACCGATCTTTGGTGCTGTTTCCGGGACTATGGATGCAGCATAATGATACCAATATGTCATCAGCATATATTCTGAGGTCTAGTTTGCTACTCACTCCATGTACACATACACCCTCGTATGATTCAGTTATTGGTGAGTTCTTTGGATAGTTCTTTCCAACTTTGCCGCAATTGATTGTACCTGAGTTTCTATTTCACTTTTCTGCAGGTCAGCCTTTGAGGGGTTGGCAGACATTTATCATTTACTCGCTTGGGGGGAGGAATCTTTATTCTGGAATATTCTATGTTACCCTTGGAAGAGGGGGACTTAGTCTCGATGGCTTCTACTATACTTTTACCATCCTTTCTAGAGTTGCTCATGCCCCAATTTATGATAGGCACCGGAGCTTGGGACAGATCATGATAGGTTGTTCGTGGACAATTTGGATGTTGTAACTTTTTTACCCTCAACAACTATGGGAAAGATGGACAATACTGGGATTTATGGTAGGTGGCCTCGTAGAACATGGAGCTTTCCTTGTGGCTCACAACGGGAGTTGGGCACCTGTCCGCACTTTCAAGACCGAACTTTAGTTTCCTCTATTTTGTAAGAATGTCTGAGATGCCCCCAAATCACCTCACTTGCGACTCTCTGACAAGCGGCTTAATAAGCTATGGGATTTGCATTCACTAGCCCTGGATTACTGACACAACGCAATGCCCACACAGAACTCACCTGAATTGTTCATCACTCAACCATGTAATATGATGCGGCGATTGGACTGCGCAATCCCTACCTTGCACACTCGCATGGCCAATGGTTGTACGCAGTGCCCCCCTTTCCCGCACACTTCTTTAGGGCCGGCACCCTGTTGGACATATGGATTCGGCAGCGAACGACTTCTTATTATATTCAGTGATACACGACTAATGCTACGGTGGGCGCCTTCCCGCTAAGGCCATGGACCCACCTCGCCATGGCACGTGAGTCACCATGACTCACGCCGAACCACATGTTACGAGTTTGCTTTGACCATTCAGAACATCCAGATGGTTGTCCCCACAGGAAGGTGAAGACGCTGAGATTGGAGTTGAAGCTGATGAACCATATGATGTGGAGAAGCTGCTGCGTTGGAGATGGGCAGGCCCCGGTGGCATGAGGCACAAGGAATTTTTGGTGTTGTGTACAGGGTGGAGTCTGGATAATGCCTCCTGGGTACCAGCTGGAAATTTCACCTATGTGAGAGAGCTGTAGAAGATGATCAAGAGGGACAAGCCCGAGGAAGTCACTAGTATGGGATAGTGACGCTTTCGAGGGCGAAAGCTACCCCAAGGGGAGAGTACTGTTGTGGAGCTACTTGGGGGCAGGCAGTAAATGATGTTTTCCGCAGCTGTATTACGTAATCTCGCTGAGTTATCCTCCTCTGTGGTTTAATTATGACTTCTTGGTTCCAATGCATCTTTCAGCACTCAATTCTATGGAGTATTGAGGAAGATACGGCCTCGTGAAGACACAGTACTTAGAGGCCGGGTGCTGGGTGGGGATGGTTGGAATTAGAGCTAGATTAGGTTGATTATAGGTGACGGGGGCGCTGGGACACGGTCCGTACATTACACTGAGCTGTCATGTCTGATGTGACACGATGGACCCGCGACCGGGCATCGCGCAGGCACATGGATGCGCGCATCGCATGTGTCAGACTGTAACCGCATTCGGGCCCCACTCGCTGCCCCGCTGCGAGGCAGCGAACCGCCGTCCGCCGCCGCGACTCCACCGCCTGCACACGGCAGGCTTCGGTGAAGGTCCCCGAGCGTCCAAGGGCCCACCGTGCTACCGAACAAATGAGCACCCCGGCAACGCCCGCCGGAATCCGGCGGAGAGGCGCAGCCCGAGGCTGCGCCATCCGGTGCGGCGACCGCCCCCCAAACTCCGGAAACCAGCGGCCGCCCGCGTAGTTGAGGTAGAACGGTGTATGCCCCGTAGCTGGTGATGCGCTGCTGTTCATCACGAATTCCACCATGGGCAGATAACGCTCCCAGTGTGTGATGTCCTGACTAGCATGGATTGTGCATCGGAGGACTTGCTCCACCACCCTATTTGCTGCCTCCGTTTAACCATCTGTCTGAGGGTGGTGGGCACTGGACATCCGCAGCTTATTCCCCAATATCTTCCAGAATTCTTGCCAGAACTTGGACACAAATCTTGGATCACGGTCACTGACAATTGACCTAGGGATCCCGTGTAGTTTCCCAATGTTGTCCCAGTAGACACGGGCAGTTTCAGCAGCCGTGATGGACTGCTGAATTGGTACCAGGTGTACCATCTTCGTGGCCCGGTCTACAACTGTCAGGATCCCGTCGTTGCTCCTCTCACTGACCGGTAGATCCATGATGAAGTCCAAGCTGATGTCGCTCCATTTCTCCTCTGGAAGTTGTAAAGGCTGCAGTAGTCCAGCCGGCACCTTGTGGACACTCTTCTCAGACTGGCAGACCTCACATCCCAACACATAATCTCTCACATCCACCGTGTGGTCTGGCCAGTAGAAGTTTTGCTGTAACTTCTTGAGTGTCTTGTGGTAGCCCAGATGACCCGCGTATGGTACTGCATGTATCTCCTCCATAATCCTTCTGCGGGCATCCTCCACATCCGGCACCACCAACCTCCAAGGTCGCCTGTCCTCTGAGTTGTCTTTTACTTTAATCTCCAGCAATCCATGACTCAGTCGGTAATCACGATTCCCGATCCTGGTGACACGTCCTTGGGCTGATTCCAATTGTTCCATCACTTCTGCCCATCTGCTGTCTTCTCGATAGCCCTTTTTAATGGAGTCCCTCAAGCCTTCCTCCAGTGTGACACGGGCATTGGTCACCAACAAAGAATGTAAAGAATGAAGTGGATGATCTCCCCCACCAGTAGCCACCACTGCTTCCCCAGGTCTCGACCTCTTAAAAATTTCATAGAGTTTCTTTTGTATTTCGTTCTCCCCCTTGTCACCTTCATTCAACTTAAGACATTGGACCAATGACTCCTCTTCCGCACGCACATCCGCCATACTGTGCAATTCCTGAATACTCCTGCGCGTGAGGAAGTCTGTAGGGTTGTCCTTTCCTGGGATATGGACAATGTCACAATCGTATCCCTGCAGTACCTGTACCCATTTCCAAAACCGCCTGTTGACAGCAGGCTGGTTGGGCAGGTTTTTCAAAGAGTCATGGTCTGTCTGGACGATGAAGTGGCGGCTGGCCAAATAATACCGCCATTTCCCAACAGCCCAGGTGATGCCCAGAAATTCCCTTTCGTATGCACTGTACCGGGTTTCAGCGGGGTTGAGCTTCCTGCTTTCGTAGCAAATGGGTTGCAGCCCATTGCCAAAGTCCTGTTGCAGGATACCTCCCACGGATACCTCTGATGCATCCGTTGTGACCACAAATTCCTGCTCGAAATCTGGTAACTGCAACACTGGAGCAGTCATCATTGTTGTCTTCAACCGGCTGAATGATTTCTCTGCTTCACCGTTCCAGAC